AGCCCCAGTCTCCCACCCCAGCAGCAGTGGCCGTTGGGTGCTCAGAGCCCACTGCTGTTAGAGCCCCTCATAGTGTGGTGCAGCCCCAGCCATTTCAGACCCAGTGCTGCCTGTGCAGCTGGTCGCAGGTCTGGCCCTGCTCGGCACAGGGCCATGCACCTTCAGGCAGCACCAGGGCTGCTCAGGCTGTCACCTGGGGCCTGGCACTGCTTGCAGGGACCACGCATTGTGCTGGGCCAAGTCCTGCCTCCACAGGCCCCACGTGCCGTCGGACTGAGCCGGTTCTGTGGAGGCCAGACCCAGCCTGACATCACACGCGGCCTCTACAAGTGGTGCTGGGTCCTGGGCGACAGCCTGAGCAGCACCAGTGCTGTCTGAATGTGCACAGCTGCATGCCAACCTGGGCTGGACCCATGACAAGCTGCATAGGCAGTGCCAGGTCTGAGATGGCTGGGGCCGTGCTGCACCATGGCTCTGACAGGAGCGGGCCTTGGGCACCCAGACAGCCGCTGCTGCGGGGGGGGGGGGGGGGGAGCTGTGGCCCTGCAGGGGACCCATATCCCCTGACCAGCCGCCCCACAACCCCCACATACCCATAGTCCCCCAACACATCCACAGCTCCACCTCCCACACACCCACAATCCCCCCAGCCCCAGTTTGTACTTACCAGGACACCATCCAGGTCATGCCACAGCCTTGCACTGCTCCTGCTTGGCCCCCCCCGCACACGAACACAGTGTACTAGGGCAGCAGGGCCCCCATCAAGACACTCTGGCTGGATGCCAGAGCATCTCTGGAGGTGTGAGCCCCACTCTGGCTGGATGCCAGAGCATCTCTGGAGGGGTGGGCCCAAGCTTGCCCCAAAGCATGCTGGGGAACCATGCCCTGCACCGCTTTTTTTCCAGGGTGTTTTTTTTGTTTTGTTGTTGTTGGTTTTTTACTGGGGGTCCTGGGGGCCTCCTAGGGGCTCCAGCAGTGGCAATTCAGGCACACGGAGCCTGACCAGCAACTGGAGTGTGGCTCTGGCCAGTCAGGTTCTGGTTTCAGTCAGTACACGCTGCTGTCACATGCGCCACCCTGCTTTTTTCTGGCACAGGTTTTTGGTTTGTTTTTTTTTTGACACCAGGCTCTCCCAGTATCATAAAATCCACCATGATGCAAATTAGCAGCAGGCCGAATGCCTGCACATTCAAAACGGTACATGCAATTTGCGGCGTCATACACAGGTCTGCGGTGATTGTATTAAATTTTTAAAACTTCAGTCTTTTGCTTACCTATAGCTCCCAGGCTCAAATATTTACATTTTTATAGCACCATAGAGCTCATCTGGGCCTCCAGTTACCAAAATACGTATTATTGCAATGGTACTAATCCATAGGCACTGTTTTTAGGATCTGACTTGCTTAAAGACCATATTAATTCTTTTACTAGTTAATAAATGCAGACACTTCACTATTTATACCAGGAAGTAAACTCCACATGTACATATAAATCTGTAGTTTTTGCAATTAAAAGAGGGAAATGTGTGATTATGCCTATGAAATCCCAATGAGAAAATTAAAAAACTGACACTAACAGCAATGAGGAAGGAAGAGAAAATTTGTCCAGCATTCACTGAGAGACCATTGCAGAAGAACTGAAGGATAACCTTTACCTCACGCTGGACTGAATGTATGTTCCAGGTTTCAAGGCAAGTAACACAGCTGAACTCAAGCCAAGTGTAAACCCCATATACACTGACAGGAAACTGCCTAAGGGACAGGAAGAATCTCTGAGCACTTCCCCCAAAAAAAAAAAAAAAATTAACTTCCACCCCACTTCCCGTAAAACATTAATAATCACTGATCTTACCCAATAACTGCACAGTAAAGGGGGACTAAGAAACAGTAGAAACAACGAGTGGAAGCATTATAATGCGTTAATTTTTTTTAAAAAGAAAGCTTGATTGGCCACCATCCACAGCTTGATGCCAGAAGCAGGGTAGCAGCACTGGCTGGAAAAGAAACAACTTTGTCTGGTGTGATGAACTTCTTGTAGTTGTTTGTTACTTTTGCAGGTGTCCACCAGTCCTGCAGCTGTCAATGATACAGACAGGAAAACACTAGTGGGTGCCCTCATATGAGGGATACACTGGATGCCCTCCATCTTGCAACTTTTTAAATCTAGAGGAAGGTATTATGCTAAATATTCATGGTCCAAAGCAAACCTGAAATGAGCACTATCTATTCCAGATATCAGGAGTAGAACTAAGCCTTTTGGTGTAAATACACAGAACAAGTTATCAGACTTGATTGTCATAATAATCAGGTGTAGGCATGAGAATAAACTAAACATATCATTGCCTAAAGCACTGTGACCTTGGAATGAATTCTGATGGGAAGAAAATATCCAGCCAGAAGCCTCCATGTTAAGAATATGTTCCCAAAGTAGGAGCCATGCAAGGTTAGAAACTAGCTCGTAGTCCAGGGAGCAGAAGGGGAAGACAGGTGGCAGATTCTGGGAGGGAAAGGAAAAGAAGTCGAGAGCCAGGGACCACAACAATATGGAAGGTACTTAAAAGAAGAAGGAAAAACATATAGTGGGGAGAAACTGAGGGGAGAGAAAAATGAGGACAGAAGGGCAAAGGCAAAGAAAGAGACTGAGGTCATGTTTAGTTGACTCAGATTAGATGACCAGGGATGATGTGCTATTCATTGCATAGGGACAGCCCCAATATGGATTCTGTCAAACTATTATATCTTAATTGGCCTCACCAGTTTAACCATGACTATACTCCTCAGATGAAGCAAAAAGAAGCTATACTTCAAAGGAAGACATCTATCCATCACTATCTCTTTTCAGTAAAATCCATTTTTGCACATAAAAACAAAGGATTGGGAACAGCCATCAGTTCTGATAGACAGGGTAATAGCTGAGCATTCTCCCCCACCCTGGTCTGCACATCACCTTCACATAAAAATGAATTACAACCCATCTAGTTGTTCTAAGATCCATTAAAACAACAGAACCTCAAACAGGTACAAAATCATTTGAATGAAGAATTGAGGAAACAAATACATTACTGATTTGGATTGCCTAAGTGCTGGTGAATAATGTGGACTTAACAAAGTCTCTCAGACAAGTAGGCAATGCTGGTAAGATTTCTCATTAAAATGCAGTTAAAATTGAATCAGAATGGATTCAATGTTGAACGGTTTTAATGATGCAAATGTCAAGCAAGCACATCAACTTCTTAAAAAACAAAGGAAGTCTAAAAGTTTAATTACAAAAACACTTGTACAGAAAACTTGGCATTTTAACAATTCCAAACACATTAATCCAACAAATGGACTCCATTTTCATGTATTTTGTTAACATTTTCCTCAGTGAAGAAAGCATCCTGCTTCTCTCCTCATCACCCACCTAATTTTTTTTGTCAGCCAACACACTGAAACATGTAAACTGAAGTGACACTCATAAAAAACACTGAAAAGGCAAAACCCATTTTTCATAAGATTAATCAGTGCAGAGATGAAGATTCTTAATAAGACAAAATATCATCTGTAAGATTGCTGGAGAGCAAGAACCAAATTTTTCCCTAGCAACTGCAAAATGTAACATGGCATTAAATCTCTCCCTCTTTGTGGGTGGGAGAAATTTGTCAGTCAGTATCCCGCAAAGAGTAACTACCTCTTTGAATCGTCCATCTAAGAATGCCATGCTTTGTCCAAGTGAGATGTATTGGCAACATGCCAAGAGTGGATGGCTGCTTCCAATTTGCTTAAGACACTGCTGTGTTTAACCATTCACACCTTAAATGTAGAGATGTGCAAGGCAGAGGGGCTCAAGGTGGATCAAACTATTGCATTTCATACCGAGTCCTGGAGCCGGTCAGGTACACCACTATACTGACAACAAGTTACCACAGACTGGACTGCAAAACTCAGTGAACCAACTTTGGCTGAGTTGTGCGTTTTGATGACTCCAACTGCACAGTAACTGGATGCATGTGTGAGTAGGGGGGGAGTGCTTTTTCTTGAGGCACTATTAGTATGCAGGATTTCCTCTCATAACCTCTTGTTCATTATAGAATTCATAAACAGTTCATGACAACATCAGCAGGTCTTGCGAGTGTTAAAAAATGGAAGTAAATTAAACAAAAGTTGTGGTTCATTTGAGTGAACTCTCTCTTATTTTCAAGACGTAAGAAAAATGTCCCTCCATGAAGGAAGACTTGCTGCTCAGCTGTAGCCAAAGCATCAGCAGTGAGCTTAGGAGCAAGGAAACCCTGGCTCAAATGGCTTTGACTTGGAGGCAGCTTCAAAAGGTGTGAAGTCTGTCAGTGTAGCATTGGAAAAAAAACCCCTACTATTTAATCTTCCAGCATAAAAATTAGGCCAATGCCTGCACTACAGATACATGAAAGTCATACTGGTTGCACCAATGAGGCCAGGTAATAAAAGCATTCCCCAACTCATAACAGGAAAATCTTTAAGGCTGTCTGAAAGAGAAGCAAGGAAGGTATCATGTAGGAGTGACAGAATAGTTTATCCGTCATAGTAAAGCTCAAAAGTATCCAAGAAGTACACAACAGGAACCTAAATGAATAATCTGACAGAAACCAAGGGTTGCAAAAATCTGCATAAATTAGGATAGACATTAGATACCTCTATCTTTGATAATGAGATATGGCGCAGCTCAGAGAGTACAGAGCCTAGCAAGCAAAGCAACACTTAATAAGAGTAAAAGGCCATTTAGGAATATCATAAGTAGAAAGCTATAGTCTCCATAAGCGATGCTTAATAATAAAGGTGTAGGGACTCATGGAATGAACTGTGGAATTCTATGGGAAACCGCTTCCCCATTAAAACACCTCTCTGCTGTTATAATTTACTGCAAGAGCAATATATGCACTTCTACACATGCAGTTTCTTAGGTGCTACAATACCAGAAGGGTACTGAAAAATGTAATTCCACTGTCTATTTCTCTGTGTTTAAAGAGATACCACTTTGAACACAAAAATCACACTTTCATGCTACAGCTCAGAGTAAATTAGACTAAGCAACACAGCAGTGGAAAGAAAAGCCACATATTTTGGTCTGAAAAAAAATGTTGTACTTTTCCTGCAGGCTGAGGGGAGCTGACCTTTCACTTTCTCTCTTGATTACCACTGACCTTTTCAGTAGTAAAATACTCCAACAGACATTTTCAAGAGATAAGAACACCAGCCTTGCTGAAGAGCAGGACACTGTACATGCGGGAGAGGTACTTGGAAACCAGAGCGGGGAGGGAGTGGGAGGGTGAGGAAAGAGTCCCTCCTTTGAAGCAACTCAGTCATGAAGCACTAACCACATCCAAGATCAGGCAGAGAAGAACCTCACACTGTAGGATGTAGGCAAGCCCAACCCCTTTCCACAGGGTAATGCTGAAGAGAAGCTTGTTTTGAAGACAGCAGGCAGGGCAGGATGGTACACTAAAGAAGAGACAGTGTCTGTTGCAGTGAAGAACACAGGTGTTGCTATGCTGAGCACCAATAAACAGGAAAAGGACAGGAGAAGACTGGAAGGGATGAAGGTAACTCCACAGCTTAAAATGTAAAGACAAAAAGAGTGAGAGAGAGAAAACAACGTAACATTTCAAATATCTATTCCCACAACAGAAAGGCTGACTTCACTTTACAGATTGGGAAGGTTCACCTCCAAGGCCATCCAGTACACTGCATTTGTACTTCCCACATCGAGCAGAAATGACAGGAAACTGAAGATTGCACCAAATTCACATGCTCTGAAAGATCTATATACAGGACAGTTCAGAGGTTTTGCAGGTGGTGCCTGTGGCTTTTTAGGAGCCTTTAATGCACTGAAATGTTTGCTCCAGAAGCAAGCTCTGCAGGCAGGGACCAGGACAAATCCTGCCTCCCACCCCCAGTCTGTTTCCACCATGGCTTCTCATTCCTCAGTGGCTGAATCACTTTTGTTAAGCATCCCTGGGCCACAAGACCTGCAGATGAAACAGAAAAATAAGCAGTAGAAGTGTATACTAATCCATTGAGATGAAACAGGGCTTTGTGGTGATATTTTTGGATGGTTAATTTGAATGTTTCTGTTCTTCACTGCTTTGTAATAAAACTATTTATTAAGAACTTTAGCCAGCAAGTAACAGCTCAGCTCCAAGTATACTGTCCCTGACAAATACTGTAATTATAAAAACAAATAGCTTTCTGTTAAATTTATAATGTGCTTCTAAACATCAAGAAAACTGCTTGGTCGGATACAGACTCTATTTGGGAGAACACATTATGTACAAGCTAGCATAGGACACAATGGTGCTGACAATTTACCAATCAGATTCACTACATGGCTATTGTTGTTAATTTATTTTTCTTCTATTTCAAGGCACTCTCTTTTATTCAGAAGTTCCTACCTTCTCCTGTGGTTACACCCGCACTGACCCCACCTCTCCTCCCTCAAATTATTTTAGCCACTGCCAAGTGAGTGTCAGAGTAATTAATTACATTGTGAGTATCTGGAACATCAGGCCATTGTTGTTTGTACATATTTGTATAATGAAGCCAGGTCAGTATTAATCATATCTTATAACTGCCTCTTCTACTTTTTCTGGGGGTAAGGGAATGGGAGTTGTATTTTTAACCATAATTGGGGACGAAGAATTTTGGAGCAAGGATTATTTTTCCCAACTGCTTGCAACTGAATCCAATTTTTCCAAGAGTAAAATATTTACATTTTGAAACCACAGAAAATGTCTGCAACTCTTAACAAATAAGAATCCTCCAGAGCTTTCCATGGCAGCTGAGAACCAAAGCCTACAGCAGACACTTTCTAGATTTTTGTAGCCTTGAGTTAGGTTTTTCTGGCAAGGTACTTTAAAGAGAAAACATCTGTTTCTGGGCCTGGAGTGCTCTTCCAGCACCTGACTGATAGGAAATCACTTGGCCAGTTACCAAATTCTGTCACAGACACTCCCATCCCCCAGTTCTCTTTCTGAGTTTACAGGGGTACTAATTGAAAGCAGTGTGTGAAAATAAGAAGGCTGATGAGCTACTGAAAATCCCAGACCTAGAGCCACAAGCTGTTCCCCTTCATAAATACAAGCAGTAATGCCACTTATTTATTCTACTGGGAGCTCAGTCATCTCTTAGAACTATAGATCCGTTCCATCTGGCTACCCATTAGAAGGACAATGATCTTTTAGCTTAAGCCATGCTGTAATGGGGAACATTTAATTAATTGCTCTATGCAATATCACAAAAGGTCAGAACCAAGAAGGATGACAAGTCCTGCCTTCATATTTGCAGACAGACCCTGTCTCATAACATGGTGAACCAGAGTTTTATTTGCTTTTATTCATACCATTCAAAGCTCATATTATATAAATTTGTTCTGTATGTATGCCCAAATAATCCAAGCCTGTGTACTTGTGGCAACAAAAGCAGGGAAGAGATTCATGTCCAAGGCCTTTGACTCGCAAAAGCTACTCTAGAATCCTGTTGCCTCGCCATGATGTGCAATATGGGGGTAATGTGGCATGGCAGAATAGGCGTACTTTGTTTGTATATTTTTCATACAGTCTCCTATTAGGATTTTCCCAGCTGCTCAGCATCAAAACAAAATGTGCAGAATAATGATCTCTATAGTACTGCATATATAACCATAAGATCATCAACACTCAGCAAATGTTATGGGTGGATTTGACCCAGTATAACTGCAATCTTTTTACTCATACATCTTCAAATTCAAAAGATCTTGACATGTAACAAATTTGACAGTCTGCACATGTTATGGATTTGATAGCTGCAACATGTTAAGTAGCCATGAATTAGCTGGCATACAACCTTTTTAGGATACAAGACTCTTTCATTGATTATCAGAACCAATGCTTTTTGTGGAATTCTTCAGATTCACCGTGCTTAAGGGAAACAATATTCTTCTGCATTATCATTTGCCATAGCTTTACTAGCCAGTAGGTCATACATGTGAAGAAATATTTTTCCTTTTCTCTTTTCCTTTTGGCAATCTATTCCATACTATTCACCTGACATACAAGTCAAGGTGCGAAATGATCTTGCAACCTGCCAAGAATTTATGTATTTTTATGAGTCAAGCATTGAATTTTCAAAGTCAAAAATAGGAGGTGTACATTCAGTTCCCACTGAAAATAAAATGGGGTGGAGCATCTAACTACCTTTTGTGGCTTTGACAAAAACATCTCTCAAGAGATACAGAGATACAGTGCTGGCAAGCAAACCAATCTGAAGGAGGGAGTACTTACCCAATCACTAACGTTCAAGTCGGTTTACCACTTCTCGGACTGTGGCTATGAGGTTCTCATTCTCCTGTGGGTTAGCCAGGATAATACTGTGCAGTCTATTCATGTATGAATCAATGGTTTCCATTGTGGGGGTCTCTCCAGTGCCTATAGTAAATATAACAGAACAAAGGAAAAAAAACCACAGGACATTTAGATGACTGCAGAAATACCAAATATTACCTACCATTCCAAGGAGGATTTGTGCTAAAATGGAAACATACTCCATGGGGGAAAGTTGTTAGAGCCAAAGTAATGCAACTAAAGCACAGTATAAATCATTAGCAACAAAACAAAGTGCTACATAGCTGTATGGTGCCATGCATGGGTTCCTGTGACAGACCCAGTGGGACGATCAGTTCCCCACCACCACTTAAGAAAAGAAAATTCCTGGCACAGAGCAGCAATGCTAAAATGTTCCAGCACTGGGACAAGGCAGAGTTAACTTCATACAGCTCCTTGCACTCATCATCAGGGTTCCAACATCCAGCAAAGACAAGAGACAGAAATAAATCTACATTACAGAATAGGGACAACTCAATGTGCCATACAACAAACAGCAGTTCGACTTAACCATGGACAAAAGGTATTCAGAAGGAGAAGGCTTACCTGGCAGTGGGACTCCAGCAAAGCTGCTGGTAAGTGCCTGCCTCAAGGTCTCCAGGTGCTGCTGCAGCACTGTGTTCCGGCTGCGCTCCTGTATCACATCTACCTCCAGCTTCTCTACTGCAGTGCGCATACTTTCCACATGCTTTTGCAGGGCAGCATTCCTTTCCTCAAACTCCATGTTGGATTTGCGCAGCTGCCGCAGCTCTGCCTCACGGGCTGTGAATAACCCCACCAAGAAAAGAGACATGAAATGTACCTATAAAAGTTACCCCAGTGAGTGCTGAAGAGTAAAGCAGAATGCTCCGAGGCATCTGCTCAGCTAAAGATGATTAAAAGAAATGAATGCAATTTTGGGCTACAAATGAAAAGGTATCACTCCACAGAGCAGGGAGTTGATAGAACCCAGACTATGGCATATAGGTCAGAGTCTTTTAATATCTGAGGGATAATGAAAAATTAAGAGAGTTCAGAGCAGAGGAAAAAAATGAATAGGGAGACTGATTTAGGAAAGGGGCGGGCAATTATTTTGGGCAAAGGGCCGCTTACTGAGTTTTGGCAAGCCATTGAGGGCTGCATGACAGGCAGCCCAGGGCAGGTTAATATTAATTTTCTAAATTTTTTAGGGGCCTCATGGGCTGGATAGAATGGCCTGGCAGGCCGCATTCTGCCCACCCCTGATTTAGGAAGTAAGATTAGAAGAACTATTGTGAACATGTTCAGTACAGTACAGCTTAGCAATATAAGGACAAGAGGACTAGCAACATGACAGTCATCTAGGGTCTCTTTACACATGCTTCAGAGTGAAGGCATGGCACTTTAATTAGAGTGGCTCTCGGGAGCCACTTTAATTAAAGTGCCCACGGTGTCTCATGTATTCAGTGTCCTGTACTTCAGAATGGGGGCAGAGGCACTTTAAAGCTTGTTGAATTAGTTTAATTAGTTAAAGTGCCCCCGCTGCCATTTTGAAGCATAGGAACACTGAATACACGTAATGCTGAGGCTGCTGGAGCGTGCTTATTAGCACATTCCAGCAGACTCTGTTAAGCGAGTCCGTTCCGATGCGTTCTCATTAGGACACATCAGAGCAGGCATTGGGCACGTGTATAGGTGCCCCTTAGAATTAGAAGGATATACATCTAAGCTGAACATGAGGAAAAATGTCTGAAGCTGAAATCTATGAGATTGTGGAGTTATCTTCCAAGGGAACTGGCAGAAATCCCACCATTATGGGCTTGTAACAATCCAAACAAATACAGAAACGGAAAATATTTTGTAGGAATGGTTTTGGCCATGGGTTACAGCCGAGGTGATTTACCTGGCTTTCCCCAAATTTAATTTCAGTGACTGTGAATTAAATCTTACTAACATCTCCACTCTACACAACAATTCCAGCTAGGAAAGTCAGACATTGCATCTCTCAATTTACCA